AAACAGGGTAGGCCTGACTATACACTTCGGTCTAAAGAACTTTATCAGAAATCACTGAGGGGTGAAGATTCCAGTCTAGAAGCCTTAGAAGTTGGATTCCTTGCAGTGGAAGGAATTCTTGTTTCAGCCAGATAACTTTAAAGGTTCCCGACGCTGCACAAAGCCGGAGCTGGGCATGCTCGGGGCTGACGTCGTAGGCGCGGGTCAGGGCACAATGCGATTCTTTCTGAAGTGTGCGAAGAACACTAGTCACTTGTGGTCCAAGACACCAGAAATCAATCTTGCATCCTGCCCTGTTCCATCTGTACTTCCTCGGTTCCCTTCCTTTAAGTCCTCTTATCCTCTGTGAGGTTGATTAGATCCATATTTAGAAATACAGGAAAGACTGTCGTCTTGGGACTTAGAAGCCTGTATAAAATATAAGCCTTGCTCTATGCTTTACAGCAAAAACTGAAAAACCAAACAATCACTGAGCATTTTTCTGTTCATGGTCAAACCCCACAGTGACTCCCCATCCCTAAAACTCTCCAAAACCGAAGGCAACTGCCCCAAAACAGGATGTTTACTTCTTCCTGCCGCCTATTTCCCACCTGAAATCACAAGAAGACAGACTCATAGCAGAGGAAAACAATGGGCATTTCGCCACTCCTTGTCTTACCCACAATGCAACGCTTTAGCCCAGCTCTTTGTTAAGTGTGCAGTTGTGAGGTCATGATCAATAATAAGCAAATCAAAGGCCCTGTCTGTTTGTCCTCCTATTTCATCAAAGCTGGTTACATAGCCTTTCCACCAACAGTTAAGGGTGCCTCTCAAAAATTCTATATAATATTTGGGCTATATCTCTGTTATGGCTATTTATTTTCATCTTTAAAAAGAGAAAGAGAAAGCTAAATAAATTTTATCCTATATAGACACCATTAAACTTGAAAGGGCCTCAGAACACACATATTCCAAGCACTCATTTTTCAGGTAAGCAACTGAAGCAGGGGGGTACAGCGACTCGGTCATACAGCTGGTAAGTGACAGAGGGATTGAGGGGAATCTCGAACCCGAGTGCTCCAGGCACCTCACCCAGGGCCCGTCGCCTCCCACCTTCCTGGGCCACCCCACATTCGATCCTCCTAATTATGACAAGGGATATGAATAAATACATTTCCACATACCCATGGCCCTGTGCTTTCACATAGGTAGGTGGTCATGCAGACTTGAGGAGGCAGCCTCATCACCACACAGCAGGGTTGCTTCCCCAGGCACCGGGGACATTTGGGGTCAGACCAACCTCTGCTGGCGGGAGGGGGACCAGCTTGGGCACTGTAGAATGATTCACAGCGATCCCGGCCTCTGCCCACTAGATGCCAATGACGTTCCCCACGGAGCTGAAATCAGAATTTCTCCGGATGTGGTCAAATGTCCTCTGAGGGCGAAACCGCCCCGCAGAGAACTCCCCTGTCACCACAGCCCCTACACATTCATCAGCCGAGCCGGAAGGACGCCTTCAATCATCAGACGCCAGAGCTCACGGGCTGTCACTCTGTCACCTACGGAACGGAGACAGGGCTCCCCCGATTTCCTCCTGGGAGGACAAAGCAGTGACCCCATCCAGTCACAGAAAGGATCAGGACAAGGGCACACTTAGAAAAAGAGCAAAAAGAGAATGGTGAAGTGGGATGGAGCACAGCAGCAGGAGAATGGGGGGGGCTGCGGGGACACAGCAGAGAGGGAAACGGGAGGAGGAAGAGGCCGGCAGACAGAAGGGGTTTGGGCGTTCTGGTGCGGTGGGACCCAGCAACCCATTACAAGATAAAGTGCCATATGTTCCTCGGGCATAATTTTTTTTTAAAGGGCAACTCAGTCTGAGAAAAAGGGTCAAGAACTTTCTACCAATGCACTGTGAGGCCTTAGGAAAGGACCATTGTCCCCAGATGACAGGCCACCGGGGGAGTTCTCTGTGAAGCTCTTTGTTAAGACCTCATGTGCTTAAGACTGTAGAGCCCTTTAAAACAGCTTATCCTGGGCTTTCGCCCACGTTGCTGTTCCTGGTGTACAATGCGTCTGAATGAAGCTCTATAATAATAGGCCTTTGAAATAACATGGCTCTTCCCATCCAGGGTACAAATCAATTTTCTTTAACTACTACTTCCCAGAAGCCTAGTTAGTCTCACACGCCCCCTGGGGAACAGAAAACCTCTGGATCTTTTTCACACTGTTACTCTTGTTGGAGTGTTCAGGTGTTTGCCCTGGCTAGTTAGATGGAAGCTCTAGATTTGACTTGATTCCAAAACATGTGGATACCAACACACGTATTTCCGAATCGGGTCAAGGTAATATTTAACAAGCTGATCTCTCAACTCCTACAGCGTCTCTTCTCCTGCGTGTGTCTAAAAAGACGCATTAGATCAAGGTTCTTTTAAAAAAAAATTATTATTGCAGTTAGTTTCCATGGAAAAACAAAATTAACAATAACAAAAAAACCTCATCCTATGACTCGCAAGCTTTACAATACATAGAAGTCGCCTGAGGATATTGTTAAAATGCAGTTTCTAACAGGAGCCGGGGCAGGGCCTGAGATTCTGCATTTCTAACAAGCTCCCAGGTGGTGCTCCCACAGCTGGTCCGTGGACCGCAATTTGAGGAAGATGGCACTAAATCTAATATCTGCTCCAAAACCATCCATCTCACACTATTTTCCTCCTGTACGAGTGTTTCGGGGCTGACTGCCCACTGGCTACCAGGGCAAGTCCAAGCCCCTTCGTGAGAAAGGAGAGCCCGCCCTGCCAGCCCCCATCTGGCCTCCGCTCCACTCACTCCCTTCGCCCAACCCTACACAGTGGGAAGCAGCCACACCAGTTCTGTGGTGTCCCCGAGAATGCATGGACACTGCAGGTCCCTGGTTTGGCCCACTGCCCCCTCTGCCTGGATGGCTCTGTCACCAGCATCCTCACGTGCACCCCCCTGGGGCCTACTGCAAACGTCACCTCCAAGGAGCCGCCCCCAAGTCCTCTGCAAATGGAGCGCTGGTTCCACTCGCCACACCTTGCATTTGGCATTCAAGCATCTACCCTGGTGTGTCTGGTTTTCTGGAAAGTTACAGCCCACCCGAGAAAGTATAAAACCACCTGGAGCCTAATCTGGGAGTTAAGAAGAAAGCGTCTACCCTTCCCATCCCAGCTCCTGAAGGAAGGAGTCTCCCGTCAATCCTCTGAGTCACAAATTCCATAGGATTCCTTCCTGGACTTTTGGCCCCAAAATGAGTTTTACCACCAGTGTTTCAGGCACTCTGACATGTGTCCTATCTGCTTGGGAACATCACTCCTGCAGCGGGGGCCCCGCCCCCGCATCACGGATGTCTCCTGAGTGTCTCCACGACCATTCTCACCAGCATAAGCCACCTTTCGTTGTAAAAAACAAACACGTGCACAATGAACCCCACCCCCACGCCCAGACCACTCTTCTCCATCCCATTTCTCTGTTCCCCTTTATAGCAAAACTACTCCCAGAAGTTGTCAAACTTTGTCATCCCTACTTCCTCCCCTTCCATCCCCTCTTAACCCACATCTGCAAGGGATCAAAGGGTTGCAAAAGCAGTGGAAACCTTCCCAGACTCCTCTCACTTGATCCGCGGGCGGCAGCAGCAGCCGTAGCTGGTCACTCCTCACCCCGGAAACCCTTCCTTTGCTTGTCTTCTGGAACATAACTTCTTTCTTCCTTCCTGCCAGCTGCTCTGTCCCCGTCTCCTCTGCTGCACCGTCTCCTCTCCTAACTCCAAACGCCAAAGGGCAGCAAGGCCCTGATTCAGCGTCATCGGGGCAGGAAGCTCAGTCCCGCCACCCTACCTGAGTCGAGCTGCCCTTCGGGATCTAGCCCCCGAACCTACTTCTTCGTGCCTCTCTCTTCTCTATCTACTCGCCGTCACCATGACATCACATCTAGTCCCATAGCTTTAAACACTATGGAATAACTAAAGATGCTCAAATGTGGACCTCCAGTCCCCATGCATCCAATCAATTACCCCAAGATTAACATGTCTAAGGCTAAGTGACTGACACACGCCCCACCAAGCGGTTCCTGCCCCACCCCCGCCGGCCTGGTCTGGGAAGCTGCGGTTCTGACCCACAGTTGTTCCGACGGCCCTGCACTCCACCCGTGTGGTCTGTCGGCAGCGCCGCCACCACTCTGCAGGAGCCGAGCTCCTCTGCTGAACCCCCCGGTCCACCTCCCCTCGTCCTTTGCCTGGATCCTCTTAGGGGTCCTAACCAGGCCCCTTGCTGGCTCCCTCACCGCTCAGGCCACAGCCAGAGCCAGAGGGAGCCTTTCCAAGTATCAGTCAGGTCTAGCACAAATCTTCTCAAAACCTTTCAAATGCTTATCTTGCTCAGAATAAAATTCAATGTGCTTCCCAAGGCCTTTGAGTCCCCGCGTGGTTGGGGGCCCCTACCCCCTTACAAACCTCAGCCCCTAGCAATTGCTCCTTCCCTCACCCTGCCCCCCGCCTCACGCCCCTCCCTACTGTTTGTGGAAGCGGGCTCCTGCCTCACAGCCTTTCCCATACCCTCCTATCCTCTTTGCCCTGGGTACTCAGTAAGCCTCGCCTGCACCACATCCGGTGCCTGACCCAAAGTCACCAGATCAGAAAGCGCAGTCGTGGTGCTCAACGTGAATCCGACTCTCCCTCCGGATCTAGTGCCCTGGCCCAGTCCACCCTTCCCACGTGGGTTCTTCCTCTCGTTCTAACGTACGAGCTTCATAAGACCTGGGACTGACTTATTTTGTTCATTGCTGTCTCCCTTAACACAGGACCTGGCAAACAGGAGGTGCTCAATACATTTTTACTGGATGAATAAATGAGTATCGTCAGAGAGTCAAAAAATAATTCTATGTGCTTGTACATTATGGAAAAAACATGGCAATATTCCAGAGGAATGAAACGCCACTAAACTATATTCTTTCAAGATAAAAAGCCCTGCCTCAGCGCTGGAGGTGCAGAGAAAAGACATACTCACTTCCTGATCACCGTCTTGGACTCGGAGGAGCTCTGGCTTCCATCCTCTTCCCAGCTGGGGCTCGTCAGGTTCCCGTACCTTCACAGACAAAACAATCGAAACCCAGTCAGTGGGGCTCCAAAGCGGCTCCATTCAGGCTCTCCCTCAAAACAACAGTTACGCGTTGCGGGAGTAAGTCAGGAAAGCAATGTTTATGAAATTGCATCAAAATGATACTGCCTTGTTGAGATTTACTATACGGGTACATCGGCTTTTTCTAGACAGAAAAGTAACAATGAATCACCCTAATTAATGCTTTCTCTTAGTAGTTAACATTTCTTTGAATTTTTAGAAAGCGAACTAGGCTTTGCCTCTTAGCAGAAGAACCAGCTATCGCACGACCCTCAGCGGACTCTCGAGCACACGGCCCAGCTGCCCCGCGCCTCTGCGGTGTCTATCAGAACAGCTGCCACACCGTGCCGCGTGGGAGCACCAGGTGACGACTCCACGCTGCACTTCGGCTGGGGCCCCATCGAGGGTAAGTCCCGTTGGACAGGGTTATGGAGACAAATCTGGATGCTCAAGTAATAGCTGAGATAGCGGCAAGGACTGAAGAACAGACATGCCATGTCTCAGGACCAGGGGGCAGGTGGGGGCACACAGAGGCGGGGCCGTTGGAGGCGCAGCAACTAGCAGCCCCAGCACCGGGGCCCAGAACTCCTGGAAGCCACAGGTGCTCCCGGTTTCACATCTGGCTCCTGGCATGCTCAAAATGTGCGGAACAACAGATCTGTCCCTAATGACACTGTTAGCTGTTCTTCCAGCTCTGCCTGCCTGAGTTGGAAGCCGGCCTGTTTCATACAACTGTGTCATGTTTTACTTGGTTCAGAATGTACATTCAGTAAATTTACTTTGACTTCTTCGGGAGTCTTTACATTAACTTGCAACGCTGAGACTATTTCTCTAGTCTATCTTGCCATCAATGAAGAGCTCAGAGATTCCTTGGAGGTTCCCAAGCTAGTAGTCTGTGCCAAACTCTTGATAATGGAAATTCTATAATTGGTGCATTTACCATTTTAAAGAGCACATTTTTATCTCCTACTAGTAGGATTAAAGGCCCCACTACTCTTATGGTCCTTGGTTCCTGGGATTTAAAAGCCTTTTAAAAATAAAAGCCCACCATCTGGTTTGACCAAATGCCAGCCCGTCTGGTCTCCCTATCACTCTATCCCATAGGTTCCAGTGTGCGCCCTTGGGCACCGCCCCCAACCCCCGCCACCGCGACACACGCACAATCCACCTGCTCTTTTTTCAAGCTCATCAGCCTTATGGCCTTCTTGGCCTCCTGAAAATATTTTCCACTGGCCTCCGCCCTCTCTGTTCCTCTTCATTCTGCCCTGCACCTACTATTTAGAGGGTTTGCAGGGATGCCCTTTGCTTCTCCTGAGATAAGAACTCAGTCAGGTTAGGATTTACTCAAGCCCACGTGAGCAAGGCAGGGGTGGGAAATGAGATTCCTGGTAAACACAGTGAGTGGAATGCCTGGCCCTCCCCTTGGCCACCCTCGTGGTGCACAGGCCCTCCTGCCCTCCCACACCGGCTTTGCGCGGGATGAAGTCGGGAAGGGCAGGCTGGGGCAGGGAAGAGTGGGGCTCTCCGAGCCACCGTACCTCCCACCCGCGTGACCACAGTGCTCCACACACTCTTCCTAACCGTCCTCCATGGCCAAACGTGGGACTTAACCTTTGCTTTGGTCACATGCTGGGTTAGTCCATTAATCCTCTCTGGAAATATTGCTTCTTTTCCCTTCCAACTGGGAGCCATGAGAGTGAGAAATAAAAAGGAAAAATGCTTACAAGGAAAAGACACATATTTTACTGCTCTTGTGATTTTTTTCTTTTCAGAGGTGTTTGTACTGAAAGTTTCCTGATCTCCCTACTCTTTTCCTCTACTTTAGCTTCCCAAGCTCTGCGCTCTTTCTCTGTGTTTTCCAGACTTGGAGCTGTGATGCTGGTTGGACGGCACCAACACCTAGCCCGTCCTCTCCCGCAGTGACATGCCGCAGGCACAGCCAGCCGTGTCGGGGACGACTGGGCCCCTGCACTGGTGGGCAAAGTCCTCTCTCATTCATGCAGCCAGCACCATTTTCCCAGAATGGGAGCTGGCAAGATTGCACAGCTGTTTCTCCTAGCCATCAGAATGCCTCGCGTTCACAGTCAGGGCCAGATTGACTGATCATAATTTGGAGGCCAGTAAGAACCATCGACAATAATGCATGTGTGGCAGAAGCCCACGTGGTCCAGGTGCCTGGGCTCGGAGGTGGCAGACGTTCCTGGCTCTTCGCCCAGTCCGCCAGGGAATCCTTTGACTCCGCCTTTATAACATGCCCTGAATCTAAACACCTCTCATCACTTCGACCCTGGCCTAGAGCAGCGCGCAGCCACCTTGCCGGCCCCCGGCCTCTGTGCAGCAGTCCCAGGGACGCTACTCCATGTCAATCAGCTCCCGTCACCGCTCGCCACAAAACCTCCCAGGGCTCCCATCTCACTTGAGAAACGGCCAGCGGCTTACCTCAAGCCGCTTACCTGTCTCACAAGGCCCAAAACGACCTGCTCCTGGCACCTCTGACCGCAAGTCCTATACTCCCTCCCTCAGCTCCACTGGCCTCCGTGCTGCTCCGGCCCTGCCCCAGGCAGCCTCGGCCCGGGCAGCCGTGCCCCCCGCTGCCTCTTCCTGCACCCAGGCCAACCTCACACTCCTCAGCCCCTTCCGGCCTTTGCTCAAGGGCCCCGTTGTCAGTGAGGCCTGTCCGGACCACCCTACTGAGGACACAAGCCAACTGTATAACACCACTGCCTTTAACGCTTTCTAACATGCTATATGATTGATTTACTTATTGCGTTCATTGTCCATTCGAACGTAAACTCCACGGGAGCAGGATTTGGCTCTTCTGCTCACTGCGCTTTAGAACTTAAAACCGGCCCCAGCAGGCCTGCTGATGGCTATTGTTGGGGTACACGAGCGGGTTCGCGGGGTTCCCTGAGCAGACGTGAAAAGGGGCCTCCTGACTACCAGGTTCTGCGAGGTACGGTCTGCGCAAACGCGTCCTGACCTGCCTGTGCCTTCGTTTCTCAAGGGTTAAGGGCACAGGAATGCTTTAGGACAGCTGCAGTTATTCCAAAAATCGATAACTAAAATGCAAAAGAAATAAAGTGTTAATCTTTAATCTAAGATCTTCAAAGTGTAAGCAGTATGAAAAGGCAAAAAAAAAAAAATGTATATACAATTTTACAAAAGAGACCTTGAGAAGCGAGATAAGATTGAAATGCCTGGACCCTCAGGAGCCCGATGGACTGGGGATTACTTGCCCCTGAAGTTTCATCATTAAGGAGAATTAATGCTTCGCAGTGAAGAAGTTAGACCAGCTTTGGAATGAAGGATGCTTTAATGTTCAAACTAGGGTATTCGAGAGTCAGTTTTACTAGATTAAGAGTATTCCTTTGATGTTTCCTGGACTCTCTCATAGCTTCCCATCAAAAACCAAAGTCAAGTTCAATTCATTTACTCTGTGGGAGTAACTAAAGGGCGCGCCTATGTGTTTAATTAATGGCAGTAGAACAGCTACAGATGAACCTGTCAACAATGTCACCTCCAATTTCTGCGAAGCCTTCCTAGGACTTGAGATCAAAGCTCCAGCCTCTTAAGAAGGCTGACCGACGAGAGACTGACCTTCTTAAATGGTAACTCAGAAGACAAATTAAAGCATAAATCGCCAGAACGACTTTTGACAAGGTTTTCTTGGTATCACACAGCAAAAGACAGATCTACAAATATCGTTTAAAGCACAGCCTTAAGCAATGATTTACTGCAGCATAAAAATTACTAGAAAAATAATTTTTAAAAAAACCCAACATAATGTTTCACTGATTGCTAATATTTAAACAGGAAACAGATTTTCTAGAGGGGATGGATGTATTGTTTAGAGCCCATCTGGGCAGATGAATTGTTTAATACATGTTTGAAAGGAGAACAAGGGGTATTTGCAGTTCAAAGAGACCCTAAGATACAATTGTGACCAGGGATGGTCTTTCTGGCAGGGGGCCTGTCCAACCTTTGCTCCCAAACAGAACGTCTCAGTAACACCAGACCAGGATGGGCGGCGGGGGTGGGGCGGGGGCGTGGTGCTGAAGAACTTTTCAGGCTCTACTTGATTCTGCAAGTCATCCAATAATATAAGAGCAGTTAACAATTATCAAGGGCTTACTATATACCAGGTACTGTGCTAAGTAAGCACTTCTTTTGATTTTGTTCATTTAATTTTCACAGTGATCCTATGAGGTGATATTATCATTATTCCGATTCCACAGATGAGAAAGTGAAGCCCAGGGCGCTTAAGTAATTTGCCCTTGAAAACACAGCCAGTAAGTGGAGCAGGGATTTGAACCCTGACAGTCAGACTTACCAGTCTCTGAGTCACGGCCTTACCACACAAGCTGCAGTTATTTTGTTTATTTACTCTATGTCTCCCCTACCGGCTTACAAATTCTTTGAGGTTAGAAACATTGAGTTTTTTCTTCACTCACTCAGTGATTTATTCTTTCACTCATTTCATCCTCATTCAATGAATATTTTTTAAGACCTATGTCCAGGGACTACTCCGGGAGCGGGGGATGCAGCAGTGAACGAACAAAAGCCCTGTGTTCATGGAGTGCACATGCAGTGGAGGGTGACAGACAATAAACTAAAAATTAGTTAGGAAATACTAAGTCAGACAGTAAAAAGTGCAAAGGAGACAAAGAAAGCTGGTAGGGATGACGGGACACGACCAGAGGGTCAGAGGTAGTCACTTCATGTGAGGCACTCGGGGCACCCAATGCGGACAAGACACCTGAGGGAGGTGCTGCGGGGCAGGGGCGCTGTGGAGACCTCTCCAGGCCGAGTCACCCCAGCAGCAGGGACGGCCAGGGCCGGGGGCAGCGTCGGGTGGGGTCCTTGGGAAACTCCAAGGAGGCCAGTGGGGATGGAGAGGCCGAGCAAGTGAAAGGACAGAAGAGGAGGCGCGGAGGTGACAGGGACAGGTCGTGAGGGCCTGACAGGCC